TCCTAATCAGGGTATGCAGAATGTGATTAAGTGAGGAAAATAAATATTGTTACTTATTATTAGGATAGAATTATAGGTGAGTTTAGTTAAATTTAATTACTTCTCATCCTTTATGGGATGGAATAGTATATCTGGCTTCTAGATGGGCTGAGCTCAGAGGTTTTTTAAGTGTGATTCTCTAGTGGATTTACAGCCGGATTGGAGAATTTTTTGAGGATGATTTTTTGGCGTATGGGAGAATTTCTTAATCCATTTATCCTCCATTTTTGTAATTCTTTCATTAATCTGAACAAACTCTCCTTTATTATATACATAAAGTGAAGCTTGCATAATTTGGAAAGAATTGGGTGTAGTTTATGAAGAGATTGGACAGCTCTGCTATGCTAATTACCTTCATCCTTTTTGTTTCACTGGCCCCCCCCCCTTTTTTTTAGGTTTATTTTCTGATTTGAGGATCTCTTACCTTAATACTTTCTACTTTCTTGTCTCTCTTCCTTTGTAGGTTCTGTTATTAGCAGTATATTCCATTTTGAAAAATCTTTTTGATCTTACCCGAGCCTATCATATTTTTATGATAGACTGCTTGGGGGAGTTTATTGTAGCATCATTATGACCTTTTGTAGTTTTTCTAATTTATTTGTCAAGGTTTTACTTTTGATTTTTTTTTTTTTACATGAGCTTTTTCTGGGCGAATTACTTTTATTTGCATGGCAATTTCTTCTGAATAATTTTTGTGGATTTTCTTTATTATTTATTTTTTGCTGCTTTCTTAGCTGCTAGTTTATTTTTTTATTTTTCAACGCCTATGGCTGGTTTTGTTAATGTCCAGGAGTTGATCTGATCCGACAAGGATGGAGTAGAAGGGGTCCAAATGTGTTGCCAGAAGGTTATGGATCTGCAGCCGTTTTGCCTGAGCAAGGCATATATCTAGCAGCTTCTATATACCGACCTGTGCTTCAGGTATTATATTTTGGACTTGCATCTTTTCCTATCAATAAGTACCAAGGATTTAGAAGTCTCGTAGTTCTCTGCTATCTTCTAGTTAAGGCTTAGCACTAGATCAGCTTACCATTATCTGGAGGATTGATCATCTTTCTCTCGTTCATCTTATTTTTCCTTGTTTTTTGCTATCCTATCTAAGAGTATGCATTTGGAAAAGGGATGCAAAGTGATGAATCCTTCCTTATCACCAAGTCACTGTTTAAACTAAATCATAAAAATCAACGTTGTAAAGTATACATTAAGTTCCTTCTACATTTTGATTTTCTTATTGACCTGACTTATTATGCAGTTTGCAGATAAAATAGCTTCAATGCTGCCTACAAAATATTCCCAGCTTGGGTAAGTTACAAAACATTGTGATGCCTTTTTTTTTTTTTGGGTCATTTTGTTCTGTAAGAGTGAAATAGAAAAAGTTGCCTTGTGTGCATGGTGATAGTTGAGAAGGTTGAGGCCTTAGAGGAACTGTCCACCAGTTGCTTAAACACACAAACACGCATGCATAAAGGTCATTGTTGCTTCTTTAATTATCAATTCACTGAACTTTAGAAAGGGCCAAATAATTTTTTCGGTGTATTATTTTTACCGAACTTTGCATTCTTTTTGAGTTATTTTACTTATTATGCATGGTATGCATATTTTGTTCTTGTCGATTTACTTTAATCAAATTATGGAACAACTTGTGCTAAAGCATGATTGCTTTCCAATTTACTGGAAATAACGTGTTGTTTTCAACTTCCTGAGCAGAAGAAGGAATGATGGGCTGTTAGCTTTCGTGGAGAACTTTGTAAAGGACCACTTTTTGCCTACTATGTTCGTGGACTACAGAAAATGTGTACAACAAGCCATATCAAGCAAGTCTACAAACTATTGAGATCCGTTCTGTTGATATTATTTGAGCTTGACCACTAATATATTCATTTTTTCCATCTCATATCTTGAAACGTCTTGGTCATACTGTATTGTTTGTAAGCTGTTGGTTTTCTAAGAGGGGAAGGCTTTTTTCAATTGAAAAGCTTAATTATAACTATCTTAGTATGCGTGTGAGTTTGTATGAATAAATTATATCTTGCCCTGCCCTTCATATGGGCACAAACATGCAACAATAAATATGAAGCTACAGAAGTTGCGAATAACTTAATACGATGACATGGGTTATTAGGGTTACAGGGTTGTGAAGTTTTAGTTCATTGATATATTTTTCTAATTCTTCCTGCATGTGAGCTTTCTTTTTAAGGACTTCTTCTTCTTCTTCTTCGCATTTTGGTAAAAGTCCTTGGACAGTTTTGTTAATTTTGACTCTGGCGTAGAATTATTGAAATATTTGATATTTGCATATTATCTTTCAGGTCCAGCTGCATTTCGCCCAAGGGCACACTTGGTTACTGCGTACACTCCATCAATTGAGAAGGGTCGACCTGTGTTGCAAGGGCTATTGGCTATAGATTTCCTGACAAAGGAGGTAAGTTTTAACTTTACTTTATAAAAGGCACATTATGTATATATAATTTTTATTTCTATTTTATATTCTGGAAGTTATAAACACTGGCCTCATGAGGTTTGGACTTCTTTTTATTGAATCTGTCTGAAATTGAATCGCATCTTTAGGTAGAGAGCATCTGGTATTGTGGATGTTCTGCCTTCTAGATTATGGCATCTAATTAATGTGTAGGTTCTTGGTTGGGCGCAAGCAATGCCCAAATTTGCCAATGACCTTGTGAAGTATGTGCAAACATTCCTGGAGCGGACTTATGAAAGATGTCGAACTTCATACATGGAGGTATCTTTTCTTCAGCATTGTTATTAAGCCATCTAATAGTAGACATCAATAATTTTGGTATACTATTAAGCCAGCTATATTTTCCATTGCTAATAAAATGTAACTTTTCCAGCTTTTAATCTATTCAGGTCATTGGATGATTAAACACTGTTGTCTTGTACTCCATGTTCTTTGTAGTAGAGTTTCCTTACAGGTTTGACAATGATTTTTTAGGCTGTCCTTGAGAAGCAGAGCTATATGCTCATTGGGAGGCACGATGTTGAGAAGCTGATGAGGATTGACTCCTCAAGTGCATATTTGCCAAATCCACTTGGTGAGCTTAACACAGAAAATAATTTGCCTGATGCTGAAACAATTGAGGTTGAATCAGAGCTAAGTGATTTACTGCTGAATTTGCGGCCCATTAAGCAGGTTTGTGTGGAGCTGTCTGAACTGACTAGTTATTTTTCTTATTGATTTTCTGCATTTCGGCTGAGTTGTCAGAATTGCCTTTGGATCTTCTCCATTGATGCATTCATGCATCCAGAGAGTGATACAAGAGAATGTAGCTGTGTATGGGGTCTACATCTCATAATTACATTGATCCACTTCTTGATCTGGACCACTCAGGGTTCTGTATCTCTGACTTTATTTATGCCATGAAATTAGGGTATGAAGGCAAGTCACGTGGTGCCTAACTCAACCCAACAAGCAACAAAGGAAGTTATAAACACAGTAAAACAACCGATTAAGTAAAGAAACATATAATTGAAAAAAAATGAAAATAAAAAACACATGATTGGCTGGCCAGAGAAGCTGATAAGACCCAGCCTCCTACTACTACTAGAACGTACCCAGAGGGATATGGGGGAGTGGCAAAAAAAATGAAAAAGAGGGGTTAAAAGGGGGTGATATTGAAGGGGTTCAGAGGCTTGTCCTATGGATCTTGTTTGTAAGCAAAAGCAATTGAATGATCTTGTGATGCGTTAGGGTCTCTAGGAGTATGTTTAGACTTCTTTTTAACTTTTGGGTTTTCAAATCTTCCCTGGGTTCAGAGAGAAGGCAGTTCAGTCTTTTGGTGAGTGAAATGAGTCTGGGAGAGCACTGGCCTCTCGAAAGTCCAGTGGCTTCTATTCTGGATTTTTATGTTGTGTAATCTGTGTTGTTCCTTGTCCCCCCGGTTGTTCATGGCCTATTTCTGGTCTGTTATAAGTTTATTATAGTCGAGGTTCTATCATAAGCACAACAACCAACACTTGCTTCTTGCTGGAAGGTGGAGATTTTGCATTTCCATCTTGCTTGTCAGATTGTCAATTTTAACTTCTAGCACAACTTTCGCCAACAGGTCTGCTACCTGAAATTATTAAGTGTGTGAAGAAGTTATAACCAAACTTAGTGTGCCACCCACCTTTTTAGGATGGATTATTCTCTAATGGACAAGCTGCCTTACTTTATTTCCATCCCCCCCGAACCAACAGCACCGAACCTGATGACCACTCTACAAATAATGTCTCCTTTGGGCATATGGCCTGCAATGACAATAGGGATAGAATATCAGAAAGTGTGGATGGCAGAGAATGTGGCGGAGGATGAGTAGAAGTGGTGAGAAATGACCAAAATGCTTCGATAACATGTGTATTTTGGCTGAATAGTCAGATTTCTTTGGCTCTAAGGGTACAAATACAAGTCAATTGGCTGCTAAATTCAGTCCTGTATTCCTTTTCTGCTTTTTCTTGATCCCATTGCATGGAAGCGTTTGGAAATATAATATCAGAATTGTTTGAAGATTTTATTTCCTTTTCCAAATTTTGGTCCACCTGTTCTTTGGCTGCTATGGAGAAACTTCTATTAACAAGACAAAAGGAACCTTGTTGACAGTCTCTCTGCTTCAGGAAAATCTAATCCATGATGATAACAAACTTATTTTGTTGGCATCTCTCAGCGATTCATTGGAGTATGTTGCAGACTCTATTGAAAGGTGAGTTTATCATCCTCTGCAATCCTGACAAGAATGTTCTGTCTTGTTCAAAGGAAAGCTTATATTTGCTGGTAGGAAATTCATGGTAACTGTATGCATATCTTTTGCTTTCCCATGAGGTACTGAGGAGTTTAATTTCAAGTTTGAACTTGAACGAAATAAACATCTTACAGGGGCATTATACATAATTATTTTGAGACCCAATCATTATTTTGAGAACAGTTTGCTGTTTTTGGTCTCTGCCTGTTGGGCTGCTTTTGTGGGCTGGATTGTTTCCTGTAAGGGAGGTCTGTTCTGCAACTTCTGATAATTGGTTAAGGGGACCCGTGTTGCTTGATTCATGTTATTTATTTGGGTGGGAAAAAATTTCAACAGGCATAAAAAAAAAATTTTTTTTTTGGGGGGGGCTTTGGGTCAAATATCTGTTTCTGTCTTTATGAAATTCCATTGATGCTGCATTGTATGGATGTGATTTACTTTTGTTAATATACCTGGACATTCTTGAAGTGCTGGGTATCAATTGTCATGGGAATTTCGGTGTTGGGCTTGTTCTTTTGTTTCTTGATAGAATAGTGAAGTACAGTATCAGATACTCACGGACATATCTCTTTTGAGCCTTGTGGCATTGTTTTTGATGGTGCATTGGATCCTGGTGGAATTTGCAGGCTCGGACAGGCTACACAAAGAGCACCAAATCAAGTAGTGAATGGAAAAGTCAATCCCACGCACACAGACAACACAAAGAATTTGGCATCATTTGCCCAAGAGTATAGGAAATTGGCAATTGATTGTCTCAAGGTTTTGCGTATAGAGATGCAGATGGAGACAATATTTCATTTGCAGGTAGGTCTTTATTGATTTGATTGTCTCTAATTGTCTTCAGTTGAACTGAGTCTCACAAATATGAACAGGGAATGACAAACAGAGAATACTTGGATGACCAAGATGCTGAAGAACCAGATGACTTCATCATTTCGCTCACTGCACAGGTGTCCTTTTATATCATTTGCTTCTGCTTGGAATTTTAATGGGTTTGTGCTCCTAGTATGTGCACGTCATTTAAGGAGATTATTACATAAACCTCTCACTATTGAAGTATTGCCCAATAGTCAATATTAGAAGTAGTCGATGATTTGCAGATGTTTGTTCTACTCATTTAATTGCATACTCGTGATTTCTGTTTTTTATATTCCCAGAAATCAAAACTGAATTAAATGCTTGCATATCAATTTGTTTAGCATCCTCTGGTTAGTTCTCTGCTGTCCCAATTATCACTGGTGTCTAGAGAGAGTTTTTAATGCAACATGCTTCTTATGTGGCCCCAAAAAAAAAAAAAAAAAAAAAAAAGAAACATGCTTCTTATGGAGAAGCCTTCCTGTTTAACTGGTTTTCTTTAAGGAGATTCAATACAACATCTGCACACAAAAAAAAAAAAAAGCTTTTTATAAAGTGTCTTTTTAGTTTGTTGTACCCTAATGCCGTTGACAAAAAATGCTGATATTGAAATTTTAAATGTCGACAAAACATTCATAAATGCTAGATATTACAGTCAATGTTGTCAAAACATAGGGCATTGAACTAGTTTTGGCACCAACCATGGTCGGATTGGTCTCAATTAAAATAATATTTTTTAAATAATACGTATAAAAAAATAACTTACTCAAATATTTATTCATATGTTGTCATACACGCCCAAAGATTTTCTGAAGTATTTGGCTATCTCAATCTCGTACATGTCAAACTAACATCATTTCATACATGCCCCACTTAAATAATACAAATCTGGATAATTGAATTTAAAAAAGAAAAAAAAAGAGAGAAAAAATGACTGCTCTGTTTTCCATTGGTTCTGACCTGTTTTATTGGTTTGCTTTTCCCCCAGTTTTGGTAGATGTCTGGACCAAACCATAGGCCAGTTTCCAGTCAAACTGGCTGGTCTGGTTCGATTTCAACAACCTTGATTAAAGTTGTCTAAATTAGCACTTATAGAAGCTTCCTAAACGTAATTTTACTACATTTAAATGTCTAAAAAATTCTAAGCAATTATGATTCAGCAGAGACTGAAATTTACAATAAACCCCAGTACCAAAACAAAACCAAATCACTGAAATATTTGATCTCTAGGATTACTTTTTTGGATGCTTACTGTATGTTTCAAAAGCAGTTAACAATGTAGGCATGGCATTTAGTGCAGCATGCTGATCAGTCTTAGTTTATTTCATCCAAAGATATTTCATGGTTACACAACTCAAACCGATTTATCTTATGGTATCTTCAGATCACGCAAAGAGATGAGAAAATGGCTCCTTTTGTCTCAAATGCAAAGCGGAATTACATATTTGGTGGAATTTGTGGTATTGCAGCGAATGCATTTCTTAAGGTACAGACAAGTGTGAACAGTTTTGATGTCAGAGTTTTGCCTTTCTATATTTTTGGCTGTATTGCCAGTTAAATCATTTGGATTGTCTCCATTTTCTGCACTGCTAATGAGACGATGCACTTATTAGGCTTTAGCGGATATGAAGTCTATTAACCTTTTTGGGGTTCAGCAAATTTGTCGAGACTCTATTGCTCTGGAACAGGTGACTTATTTTGCCATTCTTTTCTCTTAATTATCTTAGATACTCCTGTATATTTAAACAGAGAAGTTTAGGGACTACAGCTTACCGTAGGTTTGCATGTATCTTGTTTATGGGGCCAGTGGGATGGGTGCCTGGTGATAGAAGTAATTCTTTCCAAAATTAGCTGGTTGTTGAGCTCTTAATTTTTTTTATTTAGCTATGCTCCTTGAACTCAATTTTGGACGTGAATAGTCATGTCAATAAATGATAATGCAAGCTTGGGTATACTACTATAAACACTCATTTACCCCTAATAGTCAAGGTAGATTTCAGACGAGCCTGGCAGGGAGTCGCATAAAGGGGAAGTCTGATGCAATGGCTGGAAACCAGAAACCCAAATTCTGTTCGCTTCCAATCTGATTCTCAATATATGGAACTATTGTGTAATATATTCAAGGACCTATTTAGAACAAGAGTTCGTTGCTCTGCTGAATATTGGTGCCTCCACCGCCCTGACAATGTGCAGTCCCACTCATCACTAAGGTTGCCTCAGCAGCTTACAGTAATCCTGCTAATCAACGAAGACAACCCACACCCCCAAAGACATACATAGACAAGCCACACCCACAATGACACAGCCATACATCATATAGGTGACATAAAACATAGATATAAAGCATAACAAACATTAAACACAAAAACACATAAAAACGCATTAAAATATCAGCTAAGACGAAGGAAATGAACTGAAATAAGTAGCAGAAATCAATGTTGGCTCCATTGCATGAATACTGGGGTAGATGAGCAACCGGGAAGGAAACTAAGACGCCTAATGGCTAGCTAGGATTCCATGTCATTATTGCTACCACAAGAATTTGCTTAGTTTCTACTCCAAGTGAGAACTTTCCTGCAATGGTTTGAGGAGTTAACTCATCAGTCCTGAATGGGATTAATAAAAATGAAAAACTAGCATTGCCCAAAAGTGGGAATATGGGGGAGAGGAAGGTATTATTTAATGACATTTTGAGGTCCGCGGAAATGTCGAAGGAATGGAGGAGAAGCACTTTGGTGCCTATAATACAAGAATAAGGGGGATATTCAAAACTATGAAAACTACCAAGGGATAAATCCTGCGAGCCATACTATGAAGTTATGAAAAAGAGTGATTGAGCACGTGTTAAGAAATGAGACTTATATTTTAGAGAACCAATTTGGATTTATGACAACATTGTCTATAACCTAAGGGGGCTAACGGAAAAATACTAAAGTACAGAGACTTATGTATGGTTATGATCGAGTACCGAGAGAAGTGCTACAAAAAGCCCTGAAAGGAAAGTTTTTTGTGTTGTGTATGTTAAAGCCACATGGATATATATGAAGGGGCAACAACTAGTGTGAGGACACATGGAAGCGAGATGAAGGGATGCATGTAGCCAACCTTCGCTGCTTATTGTATCCAAAAGTAGGAATACGGTTTGAGGTGTCTCGAATATTAAAACATGTTTAAACTTGGTACCCTTGCTTCTTTAGACATCTGGAATTACCCATTATTTATGGAAACTTGTCTTTAGGATCTTTGGGATTGAGGTTTTACACTGTGATGGGATGCAGTGATTCTTTGGGAAACTTGTCTTTATGGCTTATTTCTGATGGGAGAATCGTGTCTGTGCTTCTGAAGCTGCTTACTCATTTTTCTATGTAATCTGTATTTCATTCAGCTATTGATGATAGCCACTTGGAAGGATGCCAGTTGTTAGGGTTTTCCTTGATCTGATTATCTTGACAGCTTCTCATATGCAATTTGGGATTGTGTGATTACAGGCACTGTCAGCTATACCATCAATTAGTAGTGAAGTTGTTCAACAAAGATTGGATAGGGTCCGCACCTACTATGAACTGTTAAACATGCCATTTGAGGCAAGTCAACTGAACTATTGGCTTCATGTTGTAGTAATTCTCGTCATGCCATCTCATTTCATTATTATTAATCTACCTGTTTCAGGCTTTGCTTGCCTTCGTTACAGAACATAAGCACTTGTTTACTGTCATCGAGTAAGTTGATGCTAATTGTAGTTCTTCTACTTTCGTTTTTTTTTTCTTTTTTCTGGCCCCCTTATTTTCCCTTGTGGATCTGACTTCCTTCAATGATGACTTTGTTTCTACAGGTACGGTAACCTTCTAAAGGTCCAGGTCCCAGGGAGGGAGATTCCTCCTGATGCACAATATCGTGTATCTGAAATTTTACCACTGTAGTATATGCATTCATCTGTTTATATTTCAGAGTTTGTTTCGGACTTGATGGGTTCTGGCATCAAATGAATTTCTGATCCTATTTCTCAGTCGGATGCCAAGTGGATGTATATGTCATTTTTGTCCCTTTGAAGCCGCAGGTCACTATCGCCTCCCGCTGTTTAAGAGATGATCATGTTTTTGCTCTCGATGATGGTTGTTCCACTGTTTTGCTTCATTTGTTTGTAATGTAATGTAATTTAATGAGAAATGTCAATTTTGGATGCTTCTGCTTTCCCTTTGGGTTGGGTATATCTTCCATGTTCAACCTAACTATGCTGACCTCCTGTGAGTACTTGACTATGTTTAGGGAGACGATATTTTGTCAAAATGAAATGCGTATAAATTGCCACGATAGAAGATGGCCTTTCTCAATAAACCTGGTTCATATGTTTAGCTATTTAGGTTCGTCCAAAGTTTAAGGACATATTTGACAATAATATTCTAAAAACATAAATTAAAAGTTGATTATGTGCGCGCGCGCGCGCGCGATGATCTCAGTGCAATGGGGCAAACCAGAAGCCGAGGGTACATCATCCCTCATACCTGTTTTGTAATTTCCAGAACCTCTGAACTCTTCTTTTTTTTGGGCGTGTTTATAAAGTAACAGATTGTAGGGCATAGTACAAGCCCTTTGAGCCAGGGATTAATAACTATGTTTTCAACTCTTACACGGATACTTCACTTTACTAAAGCGTGGTGCTTTAGCTACCAGTAATCCCTGCACGTACAAGCCCCCTTTTTGAAACAATGAAATCTATTACGATCACGCACCACAATATTTCGATTCTCCATGGCTGATATTACTTTAAAAGCAGCATGGCAATCCTCACACATCCGAAGGTTCTTCATTATCCTAATTGACATTCCAGGTGGCAATTTCATCAACCCAAAAACAAGAGCCAATTTTTCACTATGGCGAAAAAGAAACTCTTCCTTCTCTCCATCTTCCACGTCAAGAAGAACAACTGAAGTATTTGGTACGTAACCCTTTAGCTTCATCTTAACAAGTAACTTTTCCCACATTCCAAATATCTCTTCAGCTTCAGGATGACTCTCGTCTCCTGCTACAAACTCATGAACAATCCCATCAATGGTGATTGAACTCCATCCCGGAGTTTTCTTCACCCCTCGATGTTTCATCAGCTTTCTGATTCTCGCCACTTTTTCCCATTGTCCAGCTTCTGCATAAACATTCGATAAAACAATATAATACCCGTCATTGAGTGGGTCCAATTCAGAAGTGTGTCTAATTGCCTCCTCGGCCAATTCAATGTTCTTATGAACTCTGCATCCGCCAAGCAGAGCACCCCAAATGACCCCATTGGGTGCTATAGGCATGTTCACAATGAACTCGTGAGCCTCTTTTAGAAGGCCAGCACGACTATATAAATCAACCATACAACCAAAATGCTCGATTTTAGGTTCTATCCCATAATCTCTAGTCATCATGGTAAAAAGCTCACGACCCTTGTCTACTAATCCCAAGTGACTACAAGCATGAAGTAGTGCAACGAAAGTTACATCGTTGGGTTTCATTCCTGATCTAATCATTTTATCATATAGTTCCAAAGCCTTCTCTCCTTGTCCGTGCATTGCAAGCCCTGCAATCATAGCTGACCATGACACTATAGTTCTTTCTCGCATGGCTTCAAAAACTCTGTAACTGTCTTCCAAGCACCCACATTTCACGTACATATCAATCAGGGTGTTGGATATATGGACATTTTCATGAAACCCACTTCGATTTGAGTATTCATGGACCCTTCTGCCAAGATCCAAAGCACCCAAATCAGCACAAGCTGAAAGAACGGCCACTACTGTCACTTCATTTGGCCTTAGACCTTCACTCTCCATCTCCAAGAATAAACGAATGGCTTCCTTTGATCTCCCATATTGGACAAACCCAGAAATCATTGATGTCCACGATCTTACATTTCTCTGAGACATTTTAGAAAACACATCATGAGCCATATTGAGATCCCCCGCCTTGATCCATTGGCTTATCATTATGTTATAGGTAACAACGTCTCTTTGAGGCATTTTGACGAACAGAAGCCGAGCATCACTCATTGCACCGCACAGCGCGTAAAGATGAACAATCATGTTCTGTAAAATCAAGTTACTCTGAAGACCAAGTTTCTCCAGATAACCATGAACGATTCTGCCATTGAGAACGTCCAATAAATTCGCACACGCCTTGAGAACAAATGAACACGTGAAATCGTCAGGTAAAACATCGACCTGACGCAGGTGATAGAAAAGGAAGATGGCGTCTTGAGGTGAATCTCCTTCAGCTAAGGTCTTGAGACACGAATTCCACACAACAATTTCTGGCTTTTCGAGGGTCTGGAAAATCCGTCGGGCGTAAGCAAAACTGGGATTGAGAGCACAAACGAGGCCGACTCGAGTGAGAGGAAGAGAAGAGAGAGGAGTGTGGTTTTTAATGAGAAGGGCGTGAACCTGTTTGAGCTCCAACGGCGAATTGAAGTTTCTGAGAAGATTGGTTTTGAGAATTTCAGGAACAGGTGAGTGAGAGGAAACTTTGGGTGGGGATGCAGAGTAAACCTGAAGCATCTTCTATTTGCCAATCATTTGATACGAGGATCGGGTTCATAGACATGTCAAGTTTACACGCAGTTTTGTTAATATAAAAAAATACCCTTGAAAATGCCAAATATCAAATCATAGAAGTTTTTTTTTTTTTTTGACCAGAGAAATCATCGAAGTTGGATATACCAAACCAACATAATTGGATTAATTCAGTACTCTCACGTTCATATAATGTGATTTATATAGTGTAATTTTTAGTCTTGTGTTTAAAACTGAAGGATAATTATGAAATGTTGCGAAATCGCGTCACGTCCCTCACCTTTTTTCCATTCTTTAGAATGTCATTTAAACACCCCTCTTCGGCACCAGTGATCCCTCCAACAGCGACCACTGGAGCTCCATGCTGGTATGTCGCTGGGTTTTGTTGTCAGATATACATTGATGATTTCTCCCAAAAAAAAAAAAACAGAGATATTGATTAACTTTTTCTTTTCCCTCGTAGTTGTTGATTAACTTAATGAATAATGAGTTGAATATCCTAATATCCTAATATGCCACCAAGCCCAACGTTTTAAATGGCTCTATGAATAGTAACTTTATGAGAGAAGCCATATTAGGATTACAGGGTCGTGGCTTGGAGGTTTTGTTTTCCAAGATATATTGACTGAGGATGACTGGTATAGTGGCGTAAATGTATGTTACAGAATTCAACCCAGAAAAGGCAAAAAGAATGTTACAGGGAGAAGAAAGATATATGGGCCAAATGCATGCTCAACAACTATTAATCTTAAACTCACAGCAGACCATTGCATAGGATCAAATTGTTTTTTTATTTATTCAAGGGCCAACATGTACAAGAATAATTTGGAATACATGGATGATGATTTCGTGTCCCTCTTGAATTGCACTGTATCACTACAGTTCCCAACATTAAACATTATAGTTCTAGGTTCAACATTATGTATACAACCACTAGGCTCATCATTTGTGGTATCTTCAATAAATTAACATCAACACCATGAATACAAATTTACAAACAGGCCATATCACTTGGTCTAAAATCCTCTCCAAAATCCTCTTGGTATATCCCTGTTTCGAGAGGCTAAGAACGTCTCATCAGCATCACGGTATGAGATATCAAACACTTCAGAGAAGCAGTTTGCTCAGTCCCATTCCCAAAACAGCTTCCAGAAAGCCACCAGGATTCATACCTCAACAACTTAAATAATCAGCAAACTCTTGAAATATTAGCTTCGGAGCTGCCTTTGCCTGAATTGACCTGTTGAAGCAATGTTTTAAGCTATAACAATTAAGGAGCAGCCGTTTTAACTCCTTCACCCCAATGCCTTCAGATCTGTGGGTTTTAGTTCGATGTGCTTCCCTATCCTGAAAACACAGGCAATGAAAAATAATTCAAATGGCAGTTGCATGCCGCTATGCATGCTAAAGAATGGTTTGGTTAAGAGCTAAAATTTAAAACGTGGTTATTACCCGAGATCTGATGGTAGTTTAAAACCACCAATGCGTACTCGCTTTAATGAATGAATCTGGAACAGGAAACAGAAGTTGGAAAATAAGTAGGGAAAATTGGTCGTAGCTCCCAAGAATTGGGGCAAGAGTTCATACACATAAACTAATGAATTTTATTCAGATTACAGATGCCTCTTCTTTCTTTTCGAAGTATACCAAATCATCCTCAAAAATCAGAAATTATTCGAACTTAAATGGGTTAAATCTGATTAAAATTTTTCCTCTAAAGATTCTCTATAAACCTAAATACATTTTTAAACTAAAATTAAATGAAGGGTATTTTTATCTTCTGAAAAAATTGGACTTAAACGTTGGATCCATTTAGTTTCAAGGAAAATTTGTGCATTCAACGAAAGTCATGAAAAGTATGTGTAATTTACTTTAAAATAAATAGATTAGACATGTCACATATGATGTCTTTCTTGGTAACTTTGGATGAACAGATGATCTTACTGCAACTAATCATATAAGTCCATTAGACTAGCATTTGAGGTTTGCAAGGCTTCCCTATTTCGGTCTTTTTAATTTTTTTCACCTGATAACGATATGTTATCCACCTTTTTTCTCTCTCTCTCTTTTTTTTAGCCTCCTGTTTATAACTCTGCTTCATCTATAGCTAAGTAGAACTTAAAACTGCAGATAAACAATTCAGTCATATATTTGCCACTCGCCATGGTACATATAACCCGTGTGTTTGATGAATCTCATATTATTATTTAAAGCTAACCTCAAGCCCAGCACTCTTCACAAGTTCACGAACTTCATGTTTCCTCCCGTCATGAACCTACAAAAATTCCAAACAAGGAAGCAGAAGAATTAGGTTCAGGTTTCTTCATCTTCATAAAAGTAACATGCTTCAGCAAGGAAACAGAGCAAAATAAACCAACGGTTGCCAGTGAGGCCATCTTGAATAATGACGATCTCTGTCTCCCGTTTTATCAGTAAAGTCCAACCAGAAACCCCATGTCACATACAGATATATACAGCTTGCCATTGAGGGCCAAAAGCCCAAAACGAAACCATGGGTATGGCTTAAGAGGCCTCGTATTGAGTGTTTGGCATAAAAATGAGCAAGCAATATAAGAACAAGACGAAAAAAGGATTTGCTAATAATCAATTCAGGTCATTCATTTTGGAGTTCCTTCGTACAATTGTTTCAAGAAGAGAGGCTGAAATTATTCAATATTGACTAATTATAAAGAGTTTTCAACTGAAGACCCTAGTCCAAGAGAAGTCGGAATGATGCATATGATAGAGAGTAAATCATGGGTCACTGTGTCAGCTAAAGAATAGTTAAGGACTAAATATTGAAGTTTCAAATACAGTTAGCAAATTATATGTTAAATATGTCAGTTTTAAAAATGATCTAGTGATCAGGAACAAAACCAAAACAAGAGGAAGAATAAACATACCACAATGCGAAGACGAGCTCTAGGTGCATCTGGCTGGTGTGGAAGCAACTCCACAAAATCAGGTACACAATGAAGGCCCTCAATGGTTGTTCCCTCGCTTATGGCTATTAGATGCCGCTTACGTACTGCACCATCAATTGTGGCAATGTATCTAGCATGACAAAATGTGACAATATTAGAGACAAAGGAAGGGAGAGCTTCTTCATTCATGGAATTATAATATAGAGAAAAAATGATACAAGAAGCAAAACCCATGGGCAGACACTCACTCCTTTGATAGATTAGATGATGGGTGTGACAGTCTCTGAGCAAAATCACCTGTAAATAAGAGGCAATGTATATGCACTTAGATGGAAACTGTTGAAGTTTGGATTTGATTTATGACCAGAACTAAAATGAACTTGCTTTACATACCATCATTAGTCACAATAATTAATCCAGTAGTAGCAACATCAAGGCGCCCTACAGTGAAGAGCCGAGGTTTAGGTACTCCCGGACTTCTTTTACTCTGGAAATAATTTATTTTATTTTAAATATCAGAGATGCTTAGAACAACAAAAGGAGAAACCGCAGCCTCCCATATTTGATGGTAAATTAGAATTCATAAATAAGACTCTAATCATAATGCACGAAACAGGCGCTACAACTACAAATAAGGTCAAAATTTGCACATACCCAATTCTTCAAATAATCATCAAATAGACCTATTACAGATTTAGACTCCTTCTCCCCAGATGAGCATATGTACCTATCAAGGCACAATTCTGTCAAATTGTAGGAGGGCATAACATGGACCAGAATCATAAATTCGGCCAAACAACAATCTTCATGCAACATACCCTTTTGGCTTGTTCAAGGCAAAATACACCTTTGGGGGCTGCTTTTTAGGGAGACGGTTCCCATTTACATAGATAACATCCTTTGCAGGATCAACTCTAGTCTGCGTTTCAAAAGAAATGCTATAAAACCACTAAAATTGAGTATGACGTGAAACATAAGACAAATACTAAGAATAGCTGTTGCCACAACGCCATTAAGAAAACAACAAATAAAATATATTGATGAATCATTTCTTCTCTCCTGCTCAAATTTTGAGGACACCGTAGTTGACGTAGAGGAAACAAACCTGAGGAGTATTACACACAGAGCCATTAACAGTAACCTTGCCTTCAAATATAAGCTCCTCACTATTCCTTCGGGATGCAACTGAAAACAAAAATATAACCTGACAAGTGTAAGACACAGACGCATATAACTGCATGAAGTCAAGAGCTAAGGACCACCGTATGATATGCCAATTATAAATAGAGTTTAGAAACTAAATGTATATGTTCGGCCTAAAATGCTCCAACATAATTGGGCCTGGGATAAAACCAGACTCCAGCATTAATAAATGGCCCGAGTATGGAAAGAAGTGTCCTGGTCAAAACAGAACGATGATGTTTTAAAGCAGAGGGTTTTTTTCCGCCACTTGAAGGCTTTAGTTTGGAATGCCTTGCCAGAATTCGGAAAAGAACTCAGTAGGGATAAATACACACGTGATCAGAGATAGCACTAACAAGGGAAACGGTCGAATTATCAAAGTTGTATTGATCTTCATGAGTCCATCTGAAACAAATAATGACAACGAAATTACCTCCGGCAGCGGCAAGAACCTTACTTAGCCGCATTCCCGAGTCTCTGAAATTCTCATTGTAGAACCTTCGGGCTGCTTTGGAATGCTTCGGCTCCGCAGTACTCTTTTCAGCTTTTAGCTTCTTCTTCTTAGTACCAGTTTCGGAATTGGCCACAGCCTGAAGAAGACTCGCCGGAGGATGGGCTTGGAGCTTGAGGTTTCCATCCTCGCCACGAACAATCCAGGGAATAAAGAGCTGCCCGGCGCCTCCGGGAGCATCATCGTCGTCAGGAATTGGTTCTGCCTCAGCGGGCTTGGGTTCAAGCTTGGGCTTGGGTTTAGGGGGCGCAAATGAGATGTTGAATTCTAAGGAAGACGCAGAAGAAGAAGAGGTAGTAGATAAGGAGCAAGTGAGACGATGAAGCGTGCGAGAAGATGAAGTGTTCGTGAGGAATGGTTTGGCGAGGTAGCGAAAAGAGAGGGACGACAGTGCAGCCATTGATGTTGCCACTGTCGAAGAAGCCATTCTCAGTTGAGGATGATGATGCAGCGCGAAGCTAACGCAGATATGAACCAAATGGGCTGGGCTTTGGTGTGATTATGGGCCTCTTGATCACAAGCGGGAACTACTGAGCAAATGAACCCAAAACGAAGCCGAAAAGAAACAATAAAAATGTGATTTATTTTCACAAAACAGTTTACGCATTCGGATCTACTGAGCAAATGTGTCTGTTAATCGGAAAGCGATTTGAAATATAAAATGTAGTTTGACAACTAACAGATTGTTAGTTGAAGTGGTAAGTAGTCTTATCCCAATAAGAAAGAGAATACACGTTTAAATCCTGGAATCGTATTTGTTAGGAGAAGCAAAAATCATTTACAATGTAAGCCTTAAAAGGAGATATTCTTTTATCAATAAGAAAAATGTAGTTTGACACATAATCACATTCTTTCCAGTGACTCTCTCATTCATGTTGGATTTTATTTTGAACACATCCATATTTTAATAACTCTTATCAAACTAGTCCCTCTAATCTTTAATACAAGAACTACATAACTAATTTATGGTTATTAAAAAAAGTTAGTTAAATTAATTATTTGTAATGAATATTTCTTAATTTTTCTAAACTAACTACCTCTTGAATGGGAGCCCTTAATATATACAATTCATAAGAATACTTTGGGCAAAACATTATAAATTTGGGAGTTAAAATGAGCTGAGATATTATATTTAAGATCAAAATAAACATATTGTCTAACTTTTATATTTAGAAATAGAGGTGGTATTACGTATCAAAAAAATAAAAAATAAAAAAATGTTTCTAGTTTCGTTTTGAAATATGAGTTATCTTTTATCTCCTTTCTCCTTCAACAGCTCAAAAGGGCGGAAACACATAGACACAGAACCAAAGAAGCAACGTGAAAATGATTACATAGTAGGCTGGAAATTGAAATCAAAATATAATAAAGCACCAAAGAGAGGCTACCAATGATGCATGCGTTGATGGACAACTGCGAGAGAATCTTTAATTTCGCAGGTAACAGGATGACGAATTGCTTATCAACTACGAAATCAATTTGTCGTCCCATGCTGTTTACTAAATACTCCTCCACTCCTAAATATAAGACCCTTATATAAGAGTTTTATATTTAGAATCGGAGGAGTAATAAAAATCATGGCTTCAATTCAATAATCAATACCACTTATTGCATTAGCAATTTTTTGAAAAATGATTAACACATACCACCGACCTTGCTTCATAATCTGTTTCAAGTCTCGATTAAAAAAAAAAAAATAGCTATACTAGGCCCTCAATAATCAGAGTGAGAATTTAAAACTTTGTTGAATCTCTGTGACTGACAGGTATAGTTGGTGAATTCTGACAACAATAAGCCTTACCTTATTAGATGGATAAGGCTACATGATTGCACGAAACAATTCTTGCAACAACTAAGAGCATAATATCCTCTCTCTCACACACACACACACAGACAAAAACTCCCAAGAAGTTCAAGAACCCGAGAAATTTTATTAAATGATAGATCATTACAATTGTTCTTGTTTGTCCCTCATGGACCCAAGAAGAGATAGACTCGGTGATGATGAACAGAGAAATTTCTGTATGTGATTAAGGGGCACGAAAATTTCTGTATATGGTTAAGGGATAGATAACGAAAACGCTCACTAATTAATTGTGTTTTCCATCATGGAACTGAGCATTCTTTGAGGATTTGAAAGTCTCTAGGAATTCTTTAGCCTTTTTCAGCTCTTGCTTCTGCCTTGACCTGTCCCATTTGTGCTCAGCAGCCAATATTTCAATAACGCGAGGTAGTGCCCGTCCTGCAGCATCAGTGTCAAGGAAAGCGAGACGAGACCTTCTTGCAATGAAGTCAACAGCAGATTCGCAATATTCATGACGTGCACAGTAGGCCACTTCTGCCTCCAGAAACGGGTAGCCATGGGCGAGTCGCTTACCAAGATTTTCATTCTGCCATTAAAAGAAAAGAGAGAGAGAAAATCAGACACAATATAAAGCCATAAAACTAAGGAAACTCATCAAAAAAAAGGCATGATGCACTGTAATAAAGGAGATATTCTTGTCATGTAAGATGACATAATTAAAACCCCATGGCTTCTGAACTTCAGCTCAACTAAACTAGATCAATGATCTCACAACATCTCGGTATACAAATCAGTTTATATCACAATAGGTTTATAATTTATATAATGTTGATTCAGATTTTAGTCACAAGGGCTTCAGGTTATCATAAAATGTAGCAAGGATCCAAGCCAGCACAACAACAGTGAATTAAGTATAACTCCAAAAGAGTTCTCTATCAATATAAGACCTCGAAGCTCAACCCTGAATAAGAAACAGTGGTAATTCTCTCAATATACGGTACAAGTGCAACAAACTAAGATAGAATTCTAAAGTACAATTGCAACAAAAATAATTATTGAATCGAAATGGCATGAGTTTCTGACAACATCATACATTCAAAACATGCTTAGTTCAGAAATATAGAACAATGAACGGATATATTGTTGTACATGATAAGCAGATCAGTTCCACATTGGAATTTATTAATTTAAACCATGACCCCATCCCTATAAGGAACAGGTGGTGCCATTCAGGCAAAATCAGTCGCCCAATTTATAAAGTTCTAAATAGAGACATATGAACTCAATCGACGTTGGAAAAATCATCAGACGAATTTCAAACTAAACCTTGGCTGGCCAAGGTTATAATATGACAATAGGTAAAAAAAAAAAAAAAAAAGCAGAAAGCAATGTGTTTTTATCAGAATGAGAGCGTTTCAATAGTGATAGCTGCAATTTCTAAATAAAACTGGTGGTGACACCAAAAAATCAATGATGCTGACAACAAATTGGTTATGCTTGGTGCTCACGATCTTACAAATCTACATAATATAACTGACATAACATAAGCAACAAAAAATACCAAAATTTCTTTTCCAAATACAACTAAAGACAAATATACAGTAACACAAACCAACCTGAGCTATGGCAGCCACACGTTCAGCCAATATTCCATATGCACGAGACAAGTGCTTTGCAGAAGCAGTGTCCATTACTCCAGGAACAATTTTACCATTATGTGATCTTTTCATGCGCATATATTGTTGCGCAATAACAGTAAAATGTGCGGGATCCCACCCTTCACCACCAACAAGACGCAGGTTGCCGGTCACACATCCACTAGCAGCATTCAACTTTCCAGCCTTAATAGCTGCATCAACTGCGTCTTCTGCCATGCTGAAACATATGGAAGTAAGCATACTATTTGGGTGTAACAAAAATGTTAGATGCAAGAAAATAAGGATGAGAAGGGAAGAAAATAACAAGGGAAGCAGGAACAATACTTGCAAAATGGAGTCACTAAGCGAACAATGCAACTAAGAAAATGAAAACCTAGGAAGTAGACGCATCAAAACAAATCTTCAACAAAGATATGTCAGCTCAGCCCATTCAATATTTACCTGCGATAGGTGGTCCACTTTCCACCAGTTATAGTGACCAAACCAGGATAATCCTCACAAACAACATGATCCCTGGAGATACTCTCGGTATTTTTTGCTGATGGATCCGTTGCTAATGGGCGAATTCCACTCCAAGCAGAAAGAACATCTGTGCGTCTTACCTAAATTTTCCCACCATTTTTTAGTCTAAACACAAGCAGGCTGCGTAAAAAAGTTTATAAAAGGAATGACTCATAGATTGAATGGTTCCTCGCTAAAATTTTCTTCCTTGAATGTGATCAAAATTTAAGATTCATGACCCAGAAAGGGGGGGTGCTTCTGTTATACGAATGGAGCCAATGAATATCAGACACACATTTTCATTTTCCCACCAATGATGATGAAAAATAGTTAACCAAAAATGTATGTTAGACAATGAGTCCAAATCTAACATTAGGCACACAAAAAAAGGAACAAAAAAAAATTTAAAAACTTTGTGTTACAGGGATACCATACTTTAACGTTAAGGTAATCAGAGATGGCATCCAAAATGAATTGTATTTCATCTTCATGTGGTTCTGGAAGTAATGTAATGGGGGTGTTGGAATCTGTGGTTCCAGCCACAGTTCTTCCCAGCCATGGTAGCATGAAAACAACACGGCCATCCTTAGTTTTAGGAACAATTAAGCCCATTCCTTCAGGAGAATAATAATCAGGAAGTACAATATGTACACCGCTGCTGGGACAGATGATAGCTCTGGCATCCTTGTCAGCTAATTTTCTTACAGAGTCACAAAATGGCCCAGCCGCATTCACAATTACTTTTGCATACGTATCAAACTCTTTGCCTACACAATTTGAAATACATCTTCAATAAACAAAAGTAACCAAGCTTCAATAAAACATTCTAGTTCTGAGATTAACACTCGCAAAGTCCAGAGTGCTCAGTCTAACAAACCCACTTAAAAAAAAAAAAAAAACCCGTTCATTTTGCCCAATAACCCTCCCCGGGCCGCAACCCCCCCCCCAACACAGACATATCTCTTTCCATTTGCAAGATATAGTACATTAATTGCTCTGACAACAGTGCATAATTTCTTAGCAAGTGAACCTTAAGCAAATATAAAATAAAATAAAATAAAAACAACATTCAAGTAAGAATTAATGCTTTTAATAACTGAGATGCAAAGTTCTACAATTCTATATTCAATAATAAAATAAAGCTAATTGTTATGTCTCGCCAACTGATATAATTCATTGCTTCTGGAGTGAGGATGTGCATGTGGAGGGAGGTTAGAAGTGAATGTGCAATAGAATAGCCATGAGCTTATGTCACATAGTGATCATCCTTTAAAATAAGCGATATTCCCCTCAAACACATTCATGTCATCTTAATGAATTTGGGATAGACAAATTGTCAATAATATAAATAAGAGATGTCCCAAATCCCTAGTAACTATTTGAAGTAAAGGGATGTTAGTTACCAGATAGATTGTCTCGGATTCGTGCCCCAATTATTCGCTCACCAACATCATCCTTCAGAAAGGAGATAACTTCTGCATGATTCAGTACTGCTGCACCAGCTAACGCAGCAGTACAAGCCAATCCAACATTAAGTCTTGAATCATTCATCTGCCCATCATAATAAACTACTGTGCCCCTCAAGCTTCTACCTTTCCCCTCCCTTGCTAGAGTAGGGAAGAGTTCAGCAGACTCTTTGCGGAATAATATCTTGATAAATGCAAGAGTCGTGCTCCTGCGACCAAATCGTACATTTTCAATCCTATCCAGTAGTACACTACCTCAAACCAGTCAAAACATGGTGTCATGCAAGGCAAAGCATTGCATAGGTGTGGTGCATTGTCAATAACCTGTTTACGCTCCTCAAGTGCATGGAATACTAACTTCAGTTGCCCATAGTCAAGGTTAAAGACAGCTTTCTCCAAGTAACGGACACCTGATAGTTTTCAGAAACAATGAAAGATTAGAACAACAACTATTTGGAATGAGACGGGGGAAATAACATGAAGAAAAAGCCCATGCATAAAGGAAATTCTCAGGCAATTGGTATCTAAATCGTGAAGATGCAAACAAGCCTATATAATAGTTGTGCTGATTATCATGGGTTTAACTTGATTTTTAAATCAATTCCTCAAGCTTCAAAATCACAAGAACCACTGACCTTCTCTGACTTCTCCTTTTATAGATATTAATTTTATTAACCACATGTCACAAGTTATAATTTATCCATGATTGTAGTTCTACCACAACTTTCTTCTAGAAAGTGAGATCAGTGTAGGTCGTGCAAACAAAATGCTCAAAAAAGGACATCCAGAATGCATGACTAAATCGACTTACTGGAATGAGCATTCATGCAAAAGAAAATTCGCAGGCAACTTGATTCAGAATAAAATAGGTGCTTAAATTTCGTTAGACTTTCAAAGAACCAATGCTTAAAAAAAAAAAAATGCAAGCGTTGAATTTACTCCTTTAATTAAGCATCCATTACCACAAAGTGTTGACCAAAGTTTTATCGCCTACGATTCTGCAATATACACAAAAACACGTCCGAACATCTGTACCTCCATGAATGAGCTTCGTGGAGCGGGAAGAAGTTCCAGACGAAAAATCCTCTCTTTCAACGAGACCAACCCGGAGTCCTCGGGTCACAGCGTCGAGTGCCACACCACTACCGGTGGCGCCACCACCAATAACAAGTATGTCCAGAGGATTGGCCGAGCTGGCACCGATCAAGGCCGATTGCTGGACGTCTCTGGAGGGAACAACGGCGTAGGGGTCATAGATCTTCTGCCGAATGGCGGCAAGCTGAGCAGGGCCACCTCCATGATCACTGGCAGAGATCGGAGGATGAAGGAGAATCGAGCCACCGTAGGCGGTAGCAACGGCGGCTCCGACGGCCGAGCCGAGTCGCCTGAGGCGCGCAGAGGAGGTCATGGGAAAGATAGGGAGGAGAAGTGGGCCTTCTTGTGTACTTTTTGGGATGGAATTACTGTGAACAAGACGTTCGTTCCCTCGGGAAGCGGTCCCGAATCACGAGTGGTGGAATGGAATATTTACCAAAATCAAACGTTGCGACGACGCTACCCAATGGAGCATCCGCTGCTATATAAACTGTTTTTGCGGTGCGACATTGATAGTACTAATAAGTTACAGAACGGTTTGGATCGAAATCAAGTCATGACAAAAACATTACGTATTTGAATTTGAAACTGGGAACTTTTTTCCATGTGTTTGACCACTTGAATCTGCAGAACTAGATTCATTGTACCGTTTATCATTTAAAAAAATGGTAAGACTTTACAATTTGGCATAACCAGTGTTTATTGAGTTAAAAAGGGTGTTTGGATAAGATCAAAACCATGATTTCAGAAGTGTCTTTATGGTATACGAAGCAAATATGTGGAGGAGATTGTCTCGATTTATAAAAAAATACTTCTGAAAAGTGATTTTAAGAACATTTAAACACCCTTAAAGAAGAATAGGAATTAAGTGATAATGAGCCCAAAAAAGTTATTAGCATAATAACTAAAGATTGAATTGTTCTTTTTTTTTTCTTTGTACATCGGAAGAAAAAGATTGAATTGTTCTCCCCAACAGTGAGCCAATAAATTAAAAAATATATAATGACAAAAGATTTTTTTTTCCCTCCAAAAAAGTAATGAACATATGACGAACCATTTTAGGCCAAAAGTCAAAAGGGCATAAATTCTGGGTTAATTGTAGGTGATTTTGTTCTGTTAATTAAGTTAACTGAAAACAAAAAAGAGAATGTTCTAAAAATTTGATCTTTTTTTTTTTTGCCGTATCAAAATTTGTTTGATTTTAAATTTGTTAATTTGTTAAATTAGTAAAACTTTGTTCTTTCTTCCCTTTTTTTTCTTTTTGACCAGCTGCTTCCTTATTTTGTTATGCCCTCGTTATCTAACCACGTGAATATGGTCTAAGGGGGTGTTTGGATAGAAACCAAACCATGGTTTCAGAAGTGTTTTTACGGATTACGAAGTAAATATGTGGAGGAGGTTATCTCGTTTTATGGAAAAGTGATTCTGAAACCTAGGTTTTGATTTTGCTAAACACCCCCTAAATTGGTAAGATAATAACTTAAATCTTCCTTAGAAATTACGTGACGAAAAAAAAAATTGAAAATTTTGCTCACAAAGAATCTCTCCCCTCCGTGTCATCCGACGAAGCCTTGAGACTCCAGAGCAAACGACGATGGTGGCACGGCGAAGGAGGCTGGCGGGCGTGCGTTTTCGGCCGAGTTTCGCAAGCTATATAACCATGTTCGTTTAAATTCTATTCTACGTCCTATCTTCGCCGAAATCACAGTGAAACCTGCACCCACATGGATCCCCAGATCCAATTTCCAGAACAACTCTCTTCATTTCCTCCTCCGCATTTTGTTCCCTGCCCTCCCCAGCAAGACCATAATGTATTCCCCGACCCTAACGCTAAATCGGTCACAAATTTGGTTGAAAACCCTAACCCTAGCTCCAATCACTATCTTTCTTTCTCGGTCCCCAAGAAGAGAAGGCGTGGCAGGCCCCAACGGAGTCCCGCGTCCTTTCGTGTTCCTGTAGTTTTCAATGGAGCTATGAACGGTAATAACAATGATCTCTCCCCATACGGTTCTTCTTCTGCCACCTCAGTTTCAGTCAGTAATCCGTCGGGTACAAGACCTGTCCCCGATGTATCTGATGAGATTATTGTGATAAACAAAGAACCCAAAGCTGAGGCCTTGATTGCTCTCAGTGCTGGTTTTCCTGCCGATTCACTTACTGAGGAGGAAATTGAAGCTGGTGTTCTCCCCGTCATCGGAGGAATCGAACAAGTTAATTACACTCTCATTAGAAACCACATTATTGCTAAATGGCGTGAAAACGTGACGAATTGGGTCACTAAGGAAATGTTTGTTGATTATATACCTCAACACTATCACACCCTTTTGGACTCGGCGTATAATTATTTGGTCTCCCGTGGATATATCAACTTTGGAGTTGCTCCCGCCATAAAAGAGAAAATTCCAGCTGAACCCAGTAAACCTAGCGTTATTATTATTGGTGCTGGCCTTGCAGGGTTGGCTGCTGCACGGCAACTAATGCGCTTTGGGTTCAAAGTGACAGTTTTGGAAGGTAGGAAGCGTGCAGGTGGGCGGGTTTATACAAAGAAAATGGAGGGAGGGAATAGGGTGTCCGCGGCTGCAGAATTAGGTGGTAGTGTTTTAACGGGTACTCATGGGAATCCTCTTGGAATTGTGGCTAGGCAATTAGGTTATACGCTTCACAAGGTTAGAGATAAGTGTCCTCTTTATAGCGTGGATGGAAAGCCAGTTGACCCGGACATGGATATGAAGGTAGAAACTGCTTTTAATCGATTACTAGATAAGGCAAGCAGGCTTAGAGAGTTGATGGGTGATGTCTCTGTTGATGTGTCCCTTGGTGCTGCACTGGAAACATTCAGACAGGTTTATGGGGATGCAGTGAATGATGAGGAGATGAACTTGTTCAATTGGCATCTTGCAAATTTGGAATATGCTAATGCTGGTCTGCTATCAAATCTGTCACTAGCATTTTGGGACCAAGACGATCCATATGATATGGGTGGGGACCACTGCTTCTTGCCTGGAGGAAATGTGAGGCTGGTTCAAGTTCTAGCTGAGAATGTGCCTATTTTATATGAGAAAACTGTACAGACTGTTAGATACGGTAGTGATGGAGTGCAAGTTATTACAGGAAATCAGGTCTTTGAGGGTGATATGGCATTGTGCACAGTCCCTTTAGGTGTATTAAGAAAGGTTCTATCAAATTTATTCCTGAGTTGCCTCAGAGAAAGCTTGATGGAATAAAAAGATTAGGTTTTGGTCTGCTTAACAAAGTCGCCATGCTCTTTCCTCATGTGTTTTGGGAGACAGATCTGGATACATTTGGCCGCCTTTTTGATGACCCAAGTCGTCGTGGAGAGTTCTTTCTGTTTTACAGCTATGCAACAGTTGCTGGTGGACCCTTGTTGATTGCACTGGTAGCAGGGGAAGCTGCCCATAAGTTTGAGAGCATGCCTCCTACAGATGCAGTTACCCGAGTGCTTCAAATTCTCAAGGGTAATTACTATATGTGCACTGCCTAAATGGTATAATAAATATTTCATGAAACTAACAGCTTTAGATGTGTTCAGGTATCTATGAACCAAAAGGAATCAATGTCCCTGAACCTATTCAGACTGTCTGTACCAGATGGGGTAGTGATCCATTCTGCTTTGGTTCTTATTCGAATGTTGCCGTTGGAGCTTCAGGAGATGACTATGATATTCTAGCAGAAAGCGTGGGAGATGGAAGACTATTCTTTGCTGGAGAGGCTACCACAAGACGGTATCCTGCTACTATGCATGGGGCTTTTCTTAGTGGTCTAAGAGAAGCTGCAAACATGGCCCACTATGCTAATGTTCGGTCCCTTAGAATAAAGGTTGATAGGACTCCTTCAAATGCTCATTCTTGTGCTTCCCTTCTTACAGATTTATTTAGAGAACCTGATATAGAATTTGGGAGCTTTTCAGTCATTTTTTCCCAGAAAAATTCAGATCCCAAAGCTCCAGCAATTTTGAGGGTGACATTTGGTGAGCCTAGGAAGAAGACTCATGACCTTTCAAAACAAGATCAGCAACACTCGAACAAGTTACTTTTCCAGCAGCTTCAGTCTCATTTAATCAGCAGCAGCAGCTTCATGTTTACACTATGCTATCAAGACAACAGGTTCTTCAGCTAAGAGAGGTAAGAGGTGGTGATGAGATGAGAATGAATTACCTTTGTGAAAAGCTGGGAGTAAAGCTGGTGGGGAGAAAAGGGGTGGGACCTACTGCTGATTCTGTCATTGCTTCAATTAAAGCTGAGAGGGGCAATCGCAAGCCTATTTCAAAGTCTATTTCAACCTCCGCAGCTCTTAAACCAGGTAAGCTATACTATAACTACTTGTTTTCTTACTTTCTCTTTATACTTTGTCATCTGAAATGCCTAACCGTTAGAGGACTTGATCAGTATTTTTCATGATGTGCAACAGGGATGTCTAAGCTGAAAGCTGGTATTATGAAGCGAAAGATGATCAGGTATGAGATGAAATGGGATCAATATTTCTGCGCATATAAAATATTGTGCTTCTAAGTGATATGAAATGTTAACTTTGTATCCCATTATCTCTGTCAACACAGAAAGGCAAAAGTGGTACACAAAAGTCATGGGTCTGTACCTCCTTCTAGCACAAATTTGGGGGGTGACAAAGTATCAAGAGAGGTTAGCATAATGGATCAAAATCTCCCTGATGTGCTTGGTGCAGGTATTGTTTTTTTACTGGAAAAGAAACATTCTCCTAAATACTGTCTTCTTTTATAACTTTGTTACCCTTAGCAAATATGCTTTTTCAGTATGATTATTTCCATTATTTTTCTTTCAGCTTGTTATTCCTACTTGTTGCAGTTAGATCTTCTCACTTTTAGATCTGGGCATATGCATGTATTTCTATTTTCCAGTAGTAGCAGCTTGTTGAGTTAAGAAAAAATAAATAATAACAGGAATTAGTACGAGTTAACTATGCATGTATTTATATTTGTTATTGTATTTAAAATTTGTCCTCCGATGATGCAGTTTGCCAGGATGGAATATGGTGCTAATTTATAATATAATTCTTTCTAGGGAAAAATCCTACTGAAGCGTCAAAGCAGTGAATGAATGGCTTTTCTTCCATGGCTAAGAGGTGAGAGTTAGCCAACAACTCTGAATTTTGAGAGAATTTTGTGCCTTACATATTTATTTTATTTTAGATTTTACAAGAAGCTATCACTATGCCATTCAATAGGAAATGCAAATATGCACTGAGCTTTTGCCTTTACATAAACAATCTTCGTATCAAGTAGCACGTACAATAATCTAGGTCAGTTGGTCCTTGGATGCGGTTCAACATTTTAACCAGAGCCCGCAGCATTTAGTCAGCGAGAGGAGTGTATTCAGTTAAGATATAACCTCATTTTGTTTGAAGAATGCAACCCTTTCTTGACTGTGAACTGTATAAGCTGTGGTTAGCTGGAAACTGGATGTTAATTTACTTTCTGCCTGGGCCCATTAGGACTCATATTTGTATAGGTAGAAAGGATTTGGGAATGGGTGAAATTAATCCAGCTCAGGCAAGATAGGATAATTGAGGGTGCAAACATTTTGGTTGTTAGCAGAGAAAGAAGGAAGTTTAGAGAATGATGGTACGGTTCCATCTGTGTGGGAGGAAGGTAGCCTATTGTGTGATGCTTGGGAGAGAACTTGCCTCTCAATATATAGAATCGCTATATAGCATTTCTTTTTCATGCAAGAAGAAATTTTATTGAGGAAAGAGAATTTTCTGAGAAAGGAAGAGGATAAGATATCCTCCTCCTCGCGAAGGAAGTAGGAAAAACCACACATCAACCTGCAATAAGCTATCCTGTCTCACCACAAATCCAAATAACGCAATAGGAAACCCCTAAACTTCCTGCTATATCAAAACGGTCTTCTATTTTGATCATACAGTTCAATTATTAATTTGCACTTCTTTCAGGTCTTTCAGGTACCCTTATATGTCATTATTTCGTTGTGTCCTTAGTAAGATATTCAATGTTTTTAACATTTAATTTTTGTATAGTAAGTTTTTTTAATCTGTTCTAGCCCTCCCCTGTTCCACACACGCCCACCTACCCCCATACCACTTGGGGGGATTCGATCCCACAACCTGCTCCATTGAAGGGGTTGTGGGATGTCATATGAGCTACAAGTGAGTTTTAATTTCTTTGGGTTGTATAAATGAAGTTATTATTATCCTGGATTTAGGACCAAGACATCGATGGCAATGTTCCAGGACCTTGGTAGTTGGCAGTTGGCACAATCTTTTGTCAAAATGACAGTGGGTGTTGCCCGTAGTCCATATTTCATCCCTGATGTAGCCGTCACTCTGTAACATGCTTACATCTTTGGCTCAAATATTCTTGGTGTTTTCGATGGATAAATTATAGGTGGATTCGTTGTTTGTTTAATATTTTGGTGCCATTCTTTGATGCTGTCCCAGTGATGGATGCCATATCATGAACTCTGAACAGAAACTTTGTCATTGTCTTGTTCTCCACGACCACCATCCTGAGGTGCCAGTAGTGGGGTTTTGATGGCTACCCAAGAGCTTAACTTGTGAATAAAGCACCAGTGATTGGTTTCTTGGTGCTTATTCCTCTTGCAAATCAAGAGAGCTCGTGTCGATGCTTGCACAGTGCAACTTTAAGACGGAAGAGAGGGGGAAATATTCTGGAATTCTCAAGGAAATATTATTTATTTTGAAGTTGAGGATGATTGAGGAGGGTATTAATCTCAAGTTATGACATCGCTGTTCTTGAATGATGCAGCTTAAGTATGTGCCTACTGGAGTTATTGTGATTTCGATGCCTTTAGTCGCAAACGAGAATTTCATAATGTATGAGATGTGACCAAGCTTTGTAATTGTATCCAGTGAAATTCTTGAAAGTCGAATGTATATTTCGTGTCATTGATCAAGTTACTTTATCCTTTTTCATGTTCATTGCTTCAGCAGCTAAATCACTTGTCTTTTTTTCCTCTTTAATGCCCACATCAATCTTCGAAAATTCTTTCGTTGAATGTTGGCGTTTAAGTAATTTATTTTGGTTCGTGTTTTATTAATAATAAAAAATAATTATTTAATTGGCTGAAAATTGATAGATTGTGGGGTTTAAAAAGGGATAGAGAGAGAAATTCTATTTCCCAAAATAATGCTAAAATCTGAAAAAACTAATTACCCCAGTAGACCATGGAGGATCTCCAAATACAAAGGTAAATCCCAAAATTAAAGCCTGTTATATCATATTGTTCCTATCTATTGAAGTTATGAAATGCAACTGCCATAAGAAAAGTTTGTGAACGTGCATATATTTAATTATATAAAATCAAAGCAAAAAAGATGTAAATTTATAAATTAAGATAATTTTTTAATTTACAGTTTGTAAAAAAAAAGAATTTATAAATTCAATTTAGACGCTTTACATTTCATCACAGGGTGAGCGCAAAAACTCAACCCACGAGGGAGGCAGCTCCCATTGTCAACAACCACTGCAACAACAGGAATGCATCTGATATCGTCCTCTCTCATAGCTGAAGTGGGAGACCAATATAAAAGAGTTGCTGGACTAGGCTGCATTAAGGAAGAGGAAGGAATCTTTTGCACATAACATTAAAACGATGTCACATTGAGCACGCCCGGATGCCCTTTTTGGCTGCCCCTATATATGATCCCTCCACGGTCTCCTTGTAACTCCCTAAAAACTACTGCCTTCGGTCCTTAATATAAGACTTCTTTTAACTTTCATTTTGATCTTAATTATAAGATCTTAATCTACTTTATCTCTTATATTTATGTATTTTTTCTCAAGATAATCCTTCTAATTATAGTAATTCTAGTCAATACATTTTATTAGTAAGGATGTTTTAAGAAAGACAGTACATATTTATTACAAATAACTAATTTAACTTATTTTCTTAATCTCCTTAAATTAGTTAACTAGCTCTTATAATGAAAACTGGAGGTAATATTTTGAAGTACTAGAATAACTACCAAATACCACTGGCAATGATACTGATGGCAAAATTTAAAGTTTTATTATCTCTAGTCCTAACTATAAGACCTTGTTTGCAAACTACCAAAAAAAAAAAAATCTTACAAAGAGTGTTAAACAAAATAATGCCAAAATTTGAAAACATTGATTGCTTCAATAAACCAAGAAGAATCTCCAAATACAAAGGTAAATCACAAGACTGAATTCGACATGCATCATACTGGTACCATATAGAAAAGATACATACAATGCAACTGCCATGCTAATAAGTGCATTACAGGATAGTAACTACTCACATAATACCATAATAACTGCCACAAACTACCACTAACCACCCCTATACTCTAACTTCCTCATAAATTGTTTCCCAATTCCCCACTGTTGCCTTCAATCCTAGCCCTCTTTCTACCCCTGCTGTGGGTGAGTAGGCGCATTGGGCTTTATCAGAAATCAACATTCAAGTTTCCGCAGGAGGATTGCTGCATCTTGAGTGATTAACCTTATAATCTCAAGAACTGTATGTACAAGTTGAAGTTTTGTATTCCAGTGTTCTGCATCCAAGCTAAAGCCTTTCTGCATCATCTGCTTGGCCATTATCATCATGGTTGCCAGTCCCTTCCAGCCACTTCTGTAGCTGAGCTTCTTTGATAGCTTTGAAGTCATTGTACTTTTCAGATACTTGGAGTAGCTTATCGTCAGTCTGTTCATGTTGTTGAGATTCATCTTCACCCTTGGTTGACAAGGGAATCTCGTCTGTTTCCATACTTTGCAGAGCCGAAGCTGTGCTTGTAGATGGGTCTGATAGCTTTGAATTCACTGATCTCCTATCATCAAGTTGTGGCCGCAAGAGATTTCTAGACTTTTGTTTTGCTGTCGTAAATACACTTGAAAAATTGTAACCAATTTTCTCACGGGCTTCTTGGGAATCAAGTGCAGGGCTACCCCAAGATACCATTCTTTCTCCAAGGTTAGTTGAGCTCAACTGATTAATTAAACCTCTTTTAGGTTTTTTAGTTGTCACAGTTACCAGAGATTTTTTAACGTCTCGGATCATCTCTTCAACTATGGGAAATCCACACTCTTTCATTGATCTCATCATTGTAATAGAGTCCTCCAAATCTTCTGCATGCAAACTTGTTTCACGAGCCTTCTCAACAACGGATTTCTTATGTGTTGTCACATTAGGCACTGCTTTTTGAGTATGCTGTTGGATGAAGAATAGCCCAACAGAGGGTTCATTAGCCAAGTATTTGATCATCTCAGCCAAGCATTCACTTGTCTCCATAAAACCATCAACGGCGGAGAATCCAAGCATCTTCCCAAAGGCAAAATCTGCTGCTCATTACTAAAACTGCAAGGAAAAAAATGAAAAAGAAAAAATCATTAAATTATTTATACTAGTGAGCATCAATTAAGACGGTCATATGACAAATAGTAAAGGGCAAGTCCCACATGCAGTAGGCTATTTACACAACAACTACGGGGGTGTTGACACAAACCCAAAAGATCAGCGATGAAACATGAATCAGATCATTAATGCAAAAATTTTAATTTATTCATACCACCTACCGTAGAGGGAAAGCTTTAGCCTTAAGGTGGCCTTTGGTACATCTGAACAATCTAATTGTGCCTGAAAACGTGTATAAAATTTGAAGTACCAAATAAAATTGAATTTACTTACAGATTGTTGTCTTGCTAATTCAGAAAAGCCTAAATAAAATCTCCATAAACTTATGAACATTATACTCCCAAAAAATAAGTTCAGGAACAACTTGTTACATTATATATACTAATCTACATGCACCCCATCATTCTAATTGACTGGTAAATCAAAATTATGCCCGAGCTGAGCTCCCCTTTGTGAAGGGGATGAACTACGACTCCATACTCATTTTCAATACCCAATCCACTAGCCCAAGGGTCGCTAACGCAGTCAATGCCACCATCGGCATTAGAAGTGAATAGTCTGCCTTCAGGCCAAAATTTACTTGTAAAACACTTGAGCTTCACCATATTAAACAAAAGATACATGATTTTCACATTTGCATACATGAATATCTCATAAATTTCATAATTGAGATTATGGCCAATTACATGAACCAAAGTCTAAAAACTAGGTCTTGGAAAATCAGCGTCCTTATCGTCTAAGATTGAAACAACCAAATCCGAAGAAGAAGTAAGAGGAGAACTAACCCGGCAATCAATACATGATCGGATCATCATCAAGAGCTGAGATTTCCTTGATTTTCCTTCCCCCTCTGTCTCTACCTCCAGAGACAGACGCGTATTCCGTCTCCGACCTCTCGTTACCGGCCGGTGAAAGGGTTTCAGGCAGCAGGAGGCTCCTATTGAAGTGGGCCGTCGTCGCAAGATGGGAACCACGGGCTTCGCTTTGTTACGCACGGGTGTATTGTTACTGGGTAGTTAGAAGAAATCAAACTATAATTTTTATAATTTTTAGAAGTAATTTACCTTCTACAAAATAAATATCTATAGTATGAAAATATATTTTTAAAAATATTTATGGGATATTCCAGCACCTTTTTAGTTGAGAAAAGATTAATTGGTAGAAACAGCTAGTATTTCATAATGTGCAAGGTTCAAATTCTTATTAAGAGATGTGTCTATATTTAGTATCTGATAGTATCTTAAACAAGATCATTTTCAATATTTTTAATAAGAGAATATCTGTACCTAAACAAAAAATATTAATATAGTCTTTGGCCTTTTAAATTTATCTTTGTTTTGATCTTAATCCTTTATATTTTTATCATTCACATTATATATTATATAACACTTTGATAATATCTAACGTTTTTTTTATGAGCTAGTGACGCCAGTAAGCTAAAAAAGATATACATATATAATAAGATATTTCTTTACCATTGTAGTAATAGTAAAAAAAATTCATTAATTATTTATTCGATAAATTACTTTATTATTATGTTCTTTATTTATTTAAAATTTAGAATCCACATTTCTATTTTAATTTTACACCACGGTACCACTCTAATTTCACATAAGTCACTTTCAAAATGTTTAATTGAAATTAAGAAAAACTCATTTACTCTTTTGAAAATTTAAAAAGGTCTAACTTTATTCCGGTTAAATATAAAATACTCCTCCGGTCCTAATGTAAGACCTTTATACTCTCTAGTATAAGGGTCTTACATTTAGAGGATACTTTAAAATTTAAATAACACATACAAACGGGTAAATGTGTGAAGTAATAAATAGAGTGACATTGCCTAATGGCAGAAAAGTCTTCTATCTGGTACGAGTAGAGTGTACAAGTTCATGTATTTCAACCTTTCTTCCATCTAGTACTATTTTTTGTTGAGATGCATGGAGCTTTTGAAATTTGCCCATGTCAGCACATGCGCAAGGGCGATCTCCTTGTCGTATGTGCATGTTGGTTCCAAAAAAACAAATTTTGCCAGCCCAAAAAAAACTCTCTAGGTAATTATGAGTTTGTTTGATTTCTTGTTTTGAAAAAAAAAATTTTGTTTTTAAAAATAGAAAAACAAAAAAACTTGTTTGGCAATTTGTTTTTACTTGATTGTTTTGAAAAACAAAAAAACAATAATCTGTTTTTAAAAACTAAAAAACCAAAACAACTTTTATATGTTTTCTTGTTTTTGTGTTTTTATTTTTTGTTTTGAAAAATTGGAAAAATCTTCTTCTGTTCTCTTCTACTACCTACTACTTATCAATACCAGTAATAACTACTAGTTGTTAAAGTGTAATTTTTTTATATATTTTTTAAATGTGATTTTTTTTAAAATTATTTTCCAAACAACTTGTTTTGTTTTTTGTTTCCAAAACTTGTTCTTAAAAACAATTTTATAAAATTGCTTTGAGAATAAGAAAACAAAGAACAAAAACAAACAAGCCCTATATTATCGTCTTGTGTTTAAAATATATTTATGTCAGGAAACCTTTATTTTTTTGAAAAGAAAAATGGTTGTTGAAAGAGTATTCTGTCTTGCATGTACATTTTTGGCCAACCTTTGTTGCATATTAATAAAACCTTAGTCATGCATTTGGTACAAAGACACTGCATATGATGAAATAGGCTAGGATGTACGGCTATTAATTTGCTCGTCAAATTTAATCATATTATTCGCACCCGCATAACTTACATATAACCTACATTGGGAATAAATAAAGTTATTGTTGAAACGAAAAATCATACAAGCTGGTGGCAAGAAGAAGGGGAAGATTTATCAGTCACCCGAGTTACCAAGTGATGGAACACTATTGTCCAGTCGTGACATCAGTCAGATAAGATTCCCAACTCAAGTGTCATATTGACTCATTTGTACATGCATGTGCATTTAATTGCATTGTATATTATAAAAAAGTGATAGAATACTGTCACTTTGAATCCGATTCTTATTATAAACTTTAAATAATTAATTTACGAGTAACAAATAATTAATTAAAATTAATTAAAAGTAATAATTATGTTAGAATATATTTTTATTTTTAAATATGTCTTTGTAATAAATAAGAAAAAGAAAAAAATGTGTGGGAAAATGTGATGAGAGAAATTACAACAAAAAAAAGAGAATGAATAATTAAAGGTAAATTAAAAAAGGTGCATCAAATATTAAGACAAACACTAAATTAAAATTTATAAAATGGACCACACTCTTATTTCAATTTGAAGCTTGTAAATATTAAACAAGTGGGAGGAGTTCTGTGGCACAAAAGACTTGGAAAGAGTAGGTGACATTCTATGCAGTATGCAACTTTGAAATGGCATATGTAGAAATGGATAGATGAAAAATTTTATTTGGAAGGACTTCCAATTAAATTATTTTATTTTTATTCTCTATCTAATTTCATTAAATTGGTCTAATCCTTTTTATAAGGTTTAGTTTGAAATTGTCTAAATATTAAATGTATTTTTATCAATTTTATTCATTATTAATTGTATTGTCCTTTTCATATACATTATGTTCCTTTTTATCTTTTTTTCTCAATATTTCTTTCTCACAACCCCCCTGAATAAATAAGAGCATGTTTGAAATTGAAATTATTTTTTTAAATCTATCTATTAGTTTTGACTAATACTAATGGATGGATGGATGTCTTAAACCATGTGTAATTTGGTTAGTTGGGTTTTATAAAAAGTACAAGAGGTTGTATTTTGTATGGGTTCCCGAGTTGGTGAGATTTTCACGAGTTCCTGCGTCTTCAATGAAGAGTTAAAATGACGCTATTTAATAAAAGTTAATGAATGTATTTATGATAGCATTTGGGAAAAACTTCCTTTTACACGTGACGTCGTTATTCTCTCTTGGACAGTTTAATGACTTCCAAATCTAAATATTCACTTTAGACAAAATGCAGATCCTTTGCCACCGAGTCTTTTTGGTGTGTTTGGTTCAAAACAGGGGAAAATTTGAGGGATTTTAATGGAAGGAAAATGAAAGAACGGAAAAAAAAGAGATTTTAATATTATTTTATTTGAATTAATAAGGGAAAAAGAACGAGGGGAGAGATTTTCTATGATCTAATACATGATCCAATAAGAATGTAACAGTTACTATTCTTTTCCTGTGTAATATAATATCAAAAGGGTAGTATGATAAGGCTAAAATATTACTACATCTAATTCTAAATATAAGAGTTAATTGAGTAATTTAAATAGATTAAACAAATTAGTTAAGTTAGTTATTTGTAATAAATAAGTGTTGTCTATTCTAAAATATCCTTACTAATCAAATTTATTAGATAAAAAAACTATCATTAAAAGAACTATCTTAAAAAAAAAAATAAATATAAAAAAATGAATTGAATCTCGTATTTATGATCAAAATAAAAATCAAACGATATTTTATATTTAAAAAGTAGTATGTATTTCTTCAAATCTCCTCAGTGTGGGAGGGGAGGGTTACAAGGATAGGGGAGGAGAAATTTTAAAAAAATTTCTCTCCCATCCTAAATATTTTATTAATAACCCAAAAAAAGAGGAGAGTAAAATTCCTCCTCTTTGGCTAGCTCTTCTCATGCCAAACAAGTCCTTTCGGAACAAATGCGAAAATGCTTAAGCGGATTCTTGGTACAAAAAGTAGAGTAACAGACTGAACTTGGGAGACGAGACTCTCTTCTTTTTTGTATCAAAAAAAAAAAAAAAAAGACCCTTTTTTTTTATATAAATCATCGGTATCCAACCGCGCCTTTTCTGGGCCCCAGTCTCTTTGGGTCAGTTGTACCCGAGCGATCGACTAGTCCGGATTC